CCTCTCCAACAGGAAATATCCACTTTTGTGAATAATTCGTTTGGGAAACCTGATCTTCCTATCCGGCGAATTTTATTCAACCATTTCTTCTTCACCGAGTCTGTATGTGGTACTTCCTGCTGTCTCGAACTACTGCCTATGCTTCAGGTGCTCCTCACTCTTTCAAATATACAGGACTTGTTGGTCTGTTACGTGATTGTTGTGAAGCCGAATAACCCGAAAGTTACAGGTAAAGTCGAAAGCTTTTACTTAAATACTTTTTTCTTTCTGGTCTGTGCTTTCTATTGTCTTTTGCTGTCAGTCTATTGGACAAAACAACTCCACTGTCTCTTATTATTTAATCATCCGTATTAATTTAGGAGTAATATGACGATAGATTCTCACCCTAAGAAAAGTAATGGGACACCATACTCCGTAGTCACCAGGGCTTCAGCCAAATTAGGCAAACAAGTGAAGGTGATGGAATCTCGCATACCGGTCTTGAAGACCAGGGTAAATATTCCCTGCGTGAACAGATTGTCCATGTCGCCGCAGTCCTACAGTGAAACTGTGAAAAGTCAACTAAGTGGATGTGGCTCCATCCCTGTTAACACGACTAAGTTAATAGAGGCGAGTAATAAATCTGCACAAAGTGGGAATAGTATGACACCCATATCCACAGTAGGCCTTGAAACAAACAGGAAGGCCAATAAGAAACGTTCACGACGTTGCGAGACGACGAAAACGTTCCCCAAGAAGGCAGACGATTGCAAGGTCTGCAATTCTATTGTCGAACAAGCAGACTCTGCTTTCGAATGCAACTTTTGTAAGCAATGGGTACATTGTAGATGTGACATCGGAGTACCAAAGGTATATTACGATTTTATGCGTAAGAACCCATGCCCATGGTTCTGGTACATATGCCCAAGTTGCCGTCCTAATGCAGCACCGTGTAGTTCCTCGATAGCTACAGATGGCATAGAGGTATCAGGGAAAAACGTGAAACATTTTACTCCCACCAACTCAGAAAACAGCACAATTGCACATAAATCGGGGATACCAAAATCCACACCGGTTATACTTGCAATTCCTGCCATAACTGCCCCAGACACAGAGGCTGAAGCACCAAGGGTATCTGTCGCTGGGAAAAGACCCTTGCCGTCCACCAGTAATAGTGGCCACGGCACTGCGACACACAATAATACCCAGTCGCACCAGACGAAACAAAACGGTCTTAAAGGGGATGACAAATGTGCGAGGACCGAACCTAAATCCACGGTTAGTAGATCAAACTGCATTATCCTTTTTAATGTACCAGACTGTAGCAGTAGTCTACCGGAAAACGGGGCCTGTTTGATCAAGAACAGTGGTCCAACTTGCGTAGCACACTGGGTCTTGACATCCAACCAGTAAAACTATGCAGATTGTATAGGGGCACTGCTGCACCTCAAGGCAAACCATCCCCACTGAGGGTAACACTAGGCTCTACCGAGGATGCCGAAAAAGTTTTATTGACTTCTCAAGTCCTTTCTATAAGGAGGGCCTGCAACATACGTGTTAGACCAGACAGGCCATGGAAGGAAAGACAGATGGCGAGGGAGTCGCCAGAGCTTATTCCTTCTGCCTCCATAGTTGTTCACAGCATTCCCGAACTGGTAACTGGGAACGCTTGCGAGAAGCACTGTCACGATGTACAGCAATGGAGATGGTTGGCATCCCAGATGGCTCTAGGAAGTTCAGGGGCTGTCTCTATTTATAGACTGCCTCGACCCACTCACCTTATGTCAATTAACACGCCACGTCTGTTAGCTGTCAAGTTCAGCTCCCGAGACCACTTGACTACTGCTCTCCAGAGATGGTACGAGACCAAGGACAAGGTCAGCAGACACATTTGCTGCTGCTAGAGCCAGCGTTGTCGAAGAAAATCGCCAACCCTTAGTCACAATACAGCGGTGCAGCACGGACGATGATAGCCAGTGTCATTCAAGTGCTCCGATTGAACTAGAAGAAAAAACACCAACAGGCCGGTTCCTGGGGAATCGGCCAACTAGTTCGTAGGATAACTCCTCAACCGACAAATCCATAATGGATAAGATTTTATTTTCATAAATTACACAGTGTTGTACAGTTATATTAACTGATGACGTTTCCAGCACAAACTATTGCTCATAATCTCTTAACTTGATGACGGGATACGCCCATGATAGATTTGATCGAAATCTGCTGCATACCATCGGGAAGGCTGGATTCGCTGAAAATGTCAGGATGGATACTAGATGGGGCCCAGATGGGAAGTCCTCTAGACTGGATTATGTGCTCACTAGTGACCAGCTACTAGTGGAAAACGTTCAGATCACGACTCCCATAGGTAGTAGTGACCACGCGGTCATAGTATTCGACATAGTCCTCCGCAAGCGCTTACAGTGGGACAATACACAGCCCTATCTGTGTTATAACAAAGCCAATTACACCGAAATGCGAAGACTTTTGTCTGAAGCAAATTGGTCAAAAAATTGGACAGAGCTTACAGTAGAAGAACACTGGTTTTTGGTAAAGGAGATCATTCACCAGGCGTTCTCAGACACTGTTCCTTTAGCCACACCAAAAGCTAGGAAGTAACGTTCATGGCTAAAAAGGGGGACACAACGCCTTCTGCAGGCGAAGCGAAAAGCCTGGTTTGCGTGGCGACTATCGAAGAGTCAACCCGAAAATGAAGTGTACCCTGAACTCAGGAATCGATGTAACATACGAGTCCGAAGTGATAGAAAGACATTTCAGAGAAACCTCGCCAATAAGCTTCTCGTGAACCCCAAAAGCCTATACAGGTTTATGTCTGAAAGAAAACCGACCAACCAGGGAGCTTGCAATCTAGTGGGTTCTGATGGGAAATCTCTTACTAGTCTTGAAATGGCAGAGACATTCAGTCTAACCTTTCACAGGCAACTGAACAGTATCGAGGATTTTAACCCCACAATTCAAAACCAACTTGCAAAAACCTGCTGGGCACATTTCAAATTACCCCGGCTATGGTACTCGTAAAATTGGGAAAGTTGGCTTCGGGAAATTCTGCAGGTTGCGATGACATAAGACCATCCGTCCTGAAGCAGTGTTCCGAAAGTCTCTACCAACCCCTAAGTGATCTGTTTCAACACTCCTTTGATGTAGGGAAACTTCCATGTGAATGGAAACGAGCCATCCTATCCCCTGTCTTCAAGGGTGGTGACCGGCAGAATGCGACCAGTTACAGACCAGTTGCGCTAATTCCAGTGATATCGAAGATATTGGAAAGTCTCATTGACGACCACATGAGAAAATACTTCGACGGGACTAACCTACTCCATGAGGCGCATCACGGTTTCAGGAGGGGAAGATCCTGTGTGACGGATCTTCTGCTAGTTTGGAACGATTGGACACTATCCTGGGACGTAAAGGTACCAGTCCATGTGATCTTTCTCTACTTTGCGAGAGCATTCGACTCAGTTCACCATGGTCTGCTCCCTCACAAAATAAGCAAGGTGGGTGTTTCTGGAGCACTTCCCGTATGGCTGAAAGATTACTTAGGCGAGAGAGAATTCTGCACCAAAGTCAACCGTATCCGATCATCCTGGCACACCTCGGCATCAGGAGTTCCTCAGGGTTCTATCTTAGGGCCGTTGATGTTTTTGATTTTTATCAACGACCTGCCCTGTCAACTGAACTGCTCTGCGCTTCTTTACACTGACGACGTAAGGATTTGGAGAGCAATAAACTCATCGGAAGACTCAGACAGATTGCAGGCTAACCTGCAAACTCTGGGAGACTGGGCTCTGGCTAACGGAATGCCTTTCAACCCAAAAAAGTGCAAAGTAGTGCAAATTCATTCTGGCAGGTCACAGAGCGTAAATTACAACCTTGGTGGTCAGAACTCGAGTTGTGTACCATCAGAGCGCGACCTAGGTCTTATTCTAACAGAAAAGCTAGACACCAGTGTAAATTACACGAGGGACGTCGCCAAAGCCTACGCAACTTTACACTTTATGTATAGGCAGCTGGGAGCTCTTACTCCTGAACTATTCTTAACGTTGTATACGACATACGTGAGGCCACTCCTTGAGGTGCATATTATCATTGCTCCTCCGCTACTCAAAAGGGATGCTAACATTCTAGCAAGTGTCCAGAGACGAGCGACAAAATGGGTGATCGGCCTCCGCAACAAATCATATGAGGAAGGACTGAAGAAATTAAGTCCTTTCACACTTAGTTACCGTAGTCACAGGGGAGACCTCATCACCGTCTATAAGATCTTAAATGACCAGGCCCACCCTAATAAAAGCATCCTGCCATTAAGTGATTATAGGCTTCCACGAGGTAACCTGCTAAGTATAGCACACCAGAGACCAATGACTCGAGTGCGTTCACATTTCTTTTCGCTTCGAGTTTGCCGTCTCTGGAACGCTTTACCGGTGGCAGTGACTACAGCGCCATCTGTGGAAACTTTCAAGTGGAAGCTGGACAATCATGCAGAAATGCAAGGTTTTTGTCTCAATGGCTTATCCCCTTAAAATTTAAAACCACACGGTCAATGGATTAGCATACAAGCTAAATCCCCACGACCCGTTCTGTCTTCTCTCACTGTACCGACTACTCTATCTTTTCCTTAGGTCACCTATATTATTTCACTTATCTCAACCTATATCATCTACACTACAACCTATTATTATTACTATTCTGCTTTTTTGACTACACCGAATGACCAAACTCCATTCACGGCAGCAATTCAGTCCTAACATACTGCACACTACAAACCACATCTTGACCAATCCTAGCACCACTCCTCTTGGAGTCTACCAGAGCTGAAGCAGTCGAGTGGCGGGACTTACTACGCATAAGTTCACCGAAGATCTGGAACCTCTACCTTACAATCAAGAAGCGAGCTCAAAGAAATCACTGGTTTATACTAGCTCGTAATCAGGATATTGGATATGGGAACTCGTTAACATGATATTAGATATATTGGATAATTTGCAAATTACCCCCTAATTCTGACTAAGCTGAATAAAGAAAGATTTAATAGGATTATGTTCTTAACGCAGGGAGACAATCGCACAAAGTGAAAGAATATTGTTAGTCTTCATGGATGGATACACTTTAACTTGCTTACGACCTTGAAACAAGCTGCGACAATTCAAACTCAATGATAACACATATGACGGTGTTTAGAAATGTTCCAAGCTGAAGTGTTGTTACCACTAGGAATATTCCTTTTGTCTCTCCTAGTTCTTTTCGTATATTTCCATCAACTTTGTTTTTTCGTCATATCGTTGTATACAGCGTGAGTTGATTCCTGTCTGCTCTTATATATTTAGTCGATATTTGCTGCATCCAAAAAGACCAACAACATTGCTTGAAGCCCCTGGGGTTTCAGTTGTTAAACCTCTTATGGGTGTAGATGGCTGTCTTCGTGAAAATCTGTTGAGCCACTTTACCATGAACTATCCACGGGTGAGTCTTTACATACTCTTGGCTATATATATATATATATATATATATATATCATTGCACATCTTTTTAATATGACGTCCTCGTTAATTTGGTCACGAGCATAAAATACATGTATATCTTATTTCATTTTATGCGCCATGCTTTGCGAAAGAGACCAACTTTCCAAGTGTGCACGGTCCAGCTAGCACTGACTTTGGATACATTGCAGACACTTTAGGGCAGTCTTCGAGCACACTTCAGCACTTCAGTGCACACCTCAGGCGAACTAAAGACAGTTTCGAAGCCATTCCATATTTAGGTAATTTACTGATGACACGTGTCATTGAAGTTCCGTACGGAACTTCAACTTTAATACTGCCGGCTCAACCTAGAAAGTACCTCCTGGTGTATTTCAGACACTGCTAACTTTGAACAGGGTGTTGAAGTCGAAACTGATGATTTTAGGGTCATAAAGTAATGGAGATAATAAAGGTCCCTACTGATGGTGAATATTCATAAGTAGATGTAAATGTCAGGGAAAACCTCTCTCTCTCTCTCTCTCTCTCTCTATATATATATATATCATTAAGCCGGTCAGTATGCGTCTTTGATAAAGCTTAGAGGGTCACCAAATACTTTCGCAACTTTTGATCCCACATAACATACAGACAGCTACATGCTCAGTGGTCTGAACTAAGTCAGGACATTAGAAACCAAAGTTTATAGGATAATTTTTCAGTACCAGTTGAGCTTTCTTGACTTACCAGTTCGATATTAATACAAATACTTCTTATTACTCGATATACTGACTAAAACTAAATGTACAGTGAGTTGTAACGCTGAAATAGTGCTTTATTTTCACAGCTTCATTTTTGTCGTATTGTACGATTAAATGGTTCCTTGCTTTATTTTTCATTTGTTGATTATGCAATATGATCATGAAGGCTTTTAGTTGTGTCATGTTGATCACGTTTTTAATGTATGCTTTGCAAGGTTGAAGCCAAATTCAGGGTTACTACACTGTACACTATAATAATTGCCTACCAGAGACGTAAAACTGTAGGTATTTTTTACGTCAGTTCCATGTCAGCTACTCACTTCCTTAACTTCCTCATGTTAGTCGTGCTGTCTTCATTTTTTGTTGTTGTTGACAAATGAGTGTTTATTTCGAAAGCAATATTGTACAGAATAAATAGCTCTGTCCCGATAAAATAATTCCTCAACACTACTCATTTCATTTTTGTTGGATAGTGTGCAAAGTTGGGTTAGGGGTCAGCATTTCTTTGTGTTTTGTCTGCCATCTCTTAAGAAGGTGAGTAACAAAGCAGAAAGCCAGAATTTACCCGATCTTGATCAGCGGGTATCCTGATTGTTCTGAATTTCATTTTGTCTCACACTAAAACATTAGGATTAACACTATTTGATGCAATCAGACACTCACAACTGAGTCGAAACCTGTACTGATCATAATGTCGATATTTGCTATTTGGTAGCAGTGTTAATTATATTCCTGTAATGTTGTTGCTATTGATTACGCTACTTCATTTAGGAATGAACTGCACTCAAAAATGTTGCTTATTTTGAAAACTGGAACATATTTAGGAATTTAGGAACAGTAAAATTATTCTGACAATAGTTATCATAAAGCCGTTAGCTGAAATCGATTTCTTGAAATTCAAGTGGGATTATGCTAGTGAGCAATAAACTCAAATATATGGACATTTCAAATTCGACTCTGTTTAGTTGACTGTCATTAATTATATGCATTTTGATGGCGTCCGGTTGTCTAAAATGCTTCCTTTTTTCTCTTATTGGAACTTTAGTATCATAGTTTTTTGTCCAGAGGTTAAAACTTGAAAAGTTAAAACCTTATGTGAAGGTAAGAGTTTGAGAATCTGTCATGGTTCTGACTTATACTTCATTGAGTTTGATTTCTCAAGGTGGGTAGTATTTTTTGTAAGGAGTGTCTCACAAGTTTGATAACTGCTGTGATTTTCTGAACTACTGGCTGTATAGTCGGTCAATTGCAGGTTTCAAATAGGAATGGAGCAATCTTTTTCTTGTCAAACTAGAGACCAGGATGAGTTAAAGGCATAGCCAATTATCCGGCAACTTGCCTTTTTTTGTGAAAGTCAACGGGATATATTTGGCTTATAATTCTGTGTGAGGTCTGTCCATCCAATGTGTTTCATCCTAATGCTTCTTAATACTACGATGAATCTAGGGTTGATAGGACATTTCTCACTGAACCTGGAATCTAAATAAGAGGTCATAGATACTAGCGTAACCTATTTCTAATGACTACATCTCTCTACCTTAACCACAAGCATCAGGTAGAACCTCTACAAATTCCATCTTATGAGAAATCATGGTACCTGTGTGTTAGGATTTGGAAAGATAATATTTATTGTTTATTTTCTGGCTTTTACACTTCATATTGGCTTTTCCTTTATATCGTATTAAATCACACAGAAATGGTGCATGGCAAATATAGCGGATGGTTATATACGAATATTATCCTTGTTATTTGCTCCTATTTGAGAATTATTCATCTCCAAGACACCTTACTAAGAAAGGTAGGAGTGTAGATTGAAGAAAATTTTGTAAGCTGCCAAACAGTTATAACTATGGAAATTACATTCAAGCTCTGGTGTCAGTTATATATACTATGAGTCTTCCACAGAAGTATAACCACATAAGTTTTTTTAGAATTAGTCAAGTGAATTTTTGATTTTGACAAGAAATTTGATAAATCTAATTTGTCTGTAACATGAAGTTTTGTAAGCAGTGAAATTCGGTTTCATTTGTACTATAGATTAGTGTTCATAAACAACATAAACAAAAAGTGTTTTAAGCGTAAAAAGTTGAGCGCAGTATAAATTAGTACCATTAAAATGATTTCGGAAAGAAACTTATTGTAGGAGTCGGATTTATTAGCAAGTGGTTTTGTACATACGACTGGATAACTGGTAAAAAAGACATAGAACTTTGCATAACAGTGTCTCATTTCACTTCATCACACTTCGAAAGATCACACAAATAAGGAAAAGGAGGGAGACGAAAATGGCAAAGGATGTACAGGGAAGGGAGTATTCAGATAAATATTGGTGAAGCTTTTCAAAATCTGGAGGTGGATATGGAGTGAACGACTTTTAGCTATCTCGTCAAGAGTCCTGAAGTGCTTATCACCAGGCTTATGAGAAACCAAAGCAGGGAATCTATACTTATCTGTGTTGCTCAGATCAACAGCCTATAATTCATGGAATGTTGAAATGTTTTTGTTTGACCACTTCTAACACTTTTTCAATCTAATACAACTTTGGTTAACACTACTCGACGAGTAGGGCACTGGCTTGTCATAAGTGGCAAGTTACTTAGCCACCTCAGTGTAAAGGACCTCAAAACCTAAGTGGTTGACTTTTTTCTTGCCAAACGATTTTTCGTATCCCTGCTGAGATTTTTTCTACCATCATCCATTTAGGGCCGATGCAACTTTTCAAATAAGTGAGTTGATCCTCATATTCTGCCATTCTACTCTTTGAACAAGGAAAGAAGAAACATTTTACTCTTTACCTTCAAACTAGGGGTCGGTGGTGACCAGTTACTCGTCATCATGCTACGTTAAGTAGGCTGGAATCATATGCCAACCATACTCACTTGTTTACTTAGGCAGCATATTGCTAAGGTTTTCATCTCGTCTGGGAATTTCGGATCGGAGAGACGTTTGTTTTCATGGCAAGTTAATTTCGGAGACGTCCAAGTCTATCTGAGTCATGTAGGAATAAACGAAAAGCTTTTAAACGTATTACCAACAAAGTTTGGGCAAATTTTCGGAGTGAGTCTGGTGAATCTATTTGCCTCAATCATATGTTCTATTTCTTAGAGTATTTTTCGGGAAAGAAATTCAGATATCCGTCATGTAGTCGCATCTGCTCTTAGAAAGCGTCAACAAGGTATATAAAGATAAACTAATAAGTTTCTTGTGTATCTGCATGAATTAATGGAAGCATATTTTATCATGTCTACTTTGCATATTATATAGATTCTATGCGACAATATAAACTTTAAAGGATTGTCATCCTGGGAAAGTTTTCATTAGTAGTTATGAGGTAAAAAATCCCTTCATTTTCCCTAGGCTGTAATACTAACGTTTCACATATATATATACTCAATTTGTAATCACATAGCATGATATCCAAATTGCTGTTACTAGCTGAGAAGTAATTATTTAAAATGTTTGTCACCTTACTACTTTGTTAAAAGAATCGACAATTATTCAATTTGAAGTTTTGCTTTATGGCCTAAGTCAGTTGTACGACTAGGATGCATCATACTGAATCTCCAGACAGGATCTCTTTTAGAGAGTAAATGAGAAGTCTAATGATAAGAATTTTTTCAGTAGCTTCAGCTAACCTCATTTCGCGACACTAAGACGAAAACTGATGACTATCAATTTCTGGGATTCATCCGAAATCAGTTAAAATCAGTTTGTTAGGTCTTTGAATTCCGTTCTGTGGCTGATATATTAACCAATAATCTCTTGTTTTTTGCCAGCAGGCAATAGTGATTTTATAACAAAATAGTGACCCAAATAAGATCATAATTATTTACCAACCTAATGATGATCTAATTGATTCACTGTCTAATCATTAATTAAAGTGCAAACGATTTAAATAGATTCCTTCATGCTCTGACTATTTTGGGCTATTTTTTGCATCTCCTCATTTAATTTATGTGCGCATATTTCATAATGCATGTTGAATTATGAGGCTATGTGATACGACTATTAGTGATTTTTTTTTCTTCATGTAACAGTCTATTGTTTTAGTGTAGCTATCTGTTTTGTATTAAAAATCCGATACATTTACGCACAGATAAATTCCCTAAATATGGTTGAATTTTGATAAAAAGATGACATTGTTTGCATTTGTAGCTAAGCAACTAAGACAGTCCTGTTATGCTATTCTTTTAATAATAAAGCCATTTCATTTGTAACCTGATAGTATTATAAAAATAATAATAGTAATAAAGCTTTATTTCATGAAATGCGTGAACGCATAGTATAAAAATTTCCCGCGTATCTAGTTCCAAAATATTTCCTCTTCATACAGGATTGCTCATAATTATATCAAGGTGATTTGATATGATGTGGTTATGAGCAATAAATTTTACTCGAAACGTCACCAGTAAACATTACTGTATAGCACTATGAGATTTTATCAAAACAAATTTTACCCATAATGGAATTATCGCTGTCTCCGTAGAATTGCTTTAGTCCGATAGCATCATGATGTAATTCTGAGATCGGACAGTGTATTTTTGGATACGGTTGAGGTCACCATTCATTGAGTATCGTCACCTGGAAATATTGGCTTCAGTGGCTTGGATAGGTGCTACGATTGTCATCCCGGAGGCTTCCTGACGAATCTCTGTTTGCTAACCCTAGGACTCGAGGGGAGAAGCTAAGAGGTGGTTGGCGTATGGCGTGGTGCGGCAGGATGAGGGAAATATTGTAATGTTAGCATCAGTTGGTAAATCATGACTCCCTGGTTGGGGTCCAAGAGACAGTTCAAATCGGTATCTCGAAACGTTATGATATATGGCCAAGAGTCGCAATCAATGGAGAACATACTGCGATTTCTTTCTTTCTTCCCTCAAGGTGATGAGTGTTGAGTTATCTTGATAAGTATACTTGCTTGTTTCCTAGATGACAGTCCTTATTCATTTCCTTCCCACTGTTTTACATATTTTTGTGCGGCGCATCTCTTGATGCCCATATTGAGTCAGATTTGTGTTCTTAAATAAAAATAGATAAAACACTTATAATAAGATTTGAGGTGCTTCAATCAAAGGTGCGCAGTGTAATCAGCTATAAGGTTTTTTTGTTTTAAATTTTTTGACGATAAAACTTTCGTCATCTACGCGCAGCTTGTGTCGCCCGCTTGGTTATAAAAGTTAACATAATAATATTAGTTAACTCTTTGTTGGTCTAATGGCCGGACACTTAATTTCTTCCAAGTTTCACATTACGAAAATAGTTACTAATGAATGACAAAGTTTGACTTTTGATGTGGAGAGTTCCTCAAACTTTGAGTTTCTGAGAGATCCTAACAAAGTACTAGTCTATTTGTAGAATCTTTTGAAACACTAAGTAGTAAAGAGCTTCTGGAATGTGTGTAACATAAGGTTTCAAACTAGAGATTTGAATTTTCAGTAGCAGTGATGTTTTTACGGAATGTGGTTGTTAACCTCACACCCAAAACTTACCAACCAGGAGAGATTTAGCAGTGCGTCGGCTGGGAGTCAGAAGCGGATCAAGTGCTTGGTTGGCGAACATTCCATCATAGAACTACCGAGTCATCATTATATATAAATATATATATCTTATTTTCATTTAATTTGTCTCCTCTTCGTTATGTGAAATATTACAACTGGTAATAGTGTAATTCCCACTTCTTTCTCCTATATTCGGTTGAACTGAATTTGGTGTGTGCAGTAATGTAGACTGTCATAGGTTTGAAGTTTCCTGAGTTATTCGTTTCCTTTTTATCCCATCTAAAAGAGACGTCGTTTCGTTAATACAGGTCCTAATTCAATGATGTTTAAAGAAATGATAATATTCTGTTTCATAAACGTAAATTAATTGGATTAAAATAAGTTTAATTCCCACTTGTTTTAAAGGGTGTTATTCATAGGCTCATAATAACATAATTAAAACAATTGCTTAATTTATTTCTATGTAGAAACTATGAAAATTATTTGGGAATCTATTTCTGTGTATTTAGCACACTTGTTTACAGAAGTAAGCTGACTGTGGAATAGTTCATATTAACTGAAGTGATAAATTTAACACGGTAGTCATACCTAAGAATAGACTACCAATTACAACTACTATATAATAATAATATCTTTATTCTGGACAGTATTTATAAAATTTACAGAATTTTCAGAGGAGTTTATTGCATGATATTTTTCCTGCCTACAATACCTTCAAGTAAAATATTAACTGACAGTATATCCTGTGACAAAATAGTCTCTGAGCTGAAGCACAAACCATTCCCATTATGATATATCTGCTTTGTCTCCTTCAAGAAATCCACGATATCTACTTGAAAGCCATTTGTAAGACAACTGAAGAAAGTTGCCACCCACAGTCAGGTGATTCCTCAAGTTTAGTAGGAACTTGTGAATCAGGAGCTTGTAAACAATTTAAATACACAAAAGAGTAGATAATACCATTAGAGGTTATAACTTGATCAGTTAAAACAAACCGAACGAGAGAAAATATATGCTGTAGAGAGATGGGAGTTTTTGGTAGCCCAATTTTTAAGCAGGCCGCCAACTATATTTAGTTAATTAAGTACTATTTGACTTATTGAATTGAAGTAGATGTTAAATCATTCAGTATTGTGGTTGTGGCTAATAATAAATCACGAGAATTTCAACAACATATTACAATGGACAGAAGAATGTGCCGAAATCAAAACTTTTCTTGAATACACTTTGTCTATCACAGTGAAATTTCTTTGTATTACTTAAATATTCCTAATTTTAAACCACCTTTTAAAAAATGAATACGCAAAGTTTTTTCTAGCAAGTAATAATGTAAGTAGCTACAATATATACAGTGAATAAATGAATTTTAAGACAACTTGATTTGATATACTTCTGTGAAGGACTAAATCTTCAGTATATTTTTGTATATGTCAACCAAGTAAAATATTAGAATCAAGTTCTAAAAACGAGCAAAATATTTTTCTGACTAGCAGTCTAAATAAAACACAAGTAATTAATCGACTTTGATATTTCTTCATTCACTAAATTTCTTGCTTGTGATTGTAAAAATGAGAAGCGTTCAGTGCCCTCGGAAAACAGTCGTTTAGTCAGCAACTCCAGTCATCATTATAGGAATTGAATATGTTTTGATAACGGGGTTCCGTCTGTGTGTTTCAGACAAAGCAATAAGATGTAATTTGTCTGAATCGGGAAATGTATTTGCGCAACACATTTCGAACAATCTGATCACACACGGGCTTATCATAGGAGAACATAAATATATGGAAATAATGAAGAGTTAATAGGCAAGAAAAATAAAATTAAGGTCAAGTTAAAAGGACTTATTGAAGGTCAAAATAACAATGAAGATCACTAAACCAATTAACAGAGGTAATAGGACATCTGTTATGGTATCAAAATAAAGTTTTCAAGAGTTGGTTTGTAAGGATGAGATCGGGTCGCAGTTGCTGAATGGTATACGAGCTTGCCTTGTAACCGGGATGTCATGGGTTCGAACCGTGGCAGTGGGTACGTACTGCCGATGATTTCCAAACTGGGACGGAGGAAACAGCTGTCGAGTACTCCCTGGTTTTCAATGGTTCTCTAACTGATATCAATCCGTGGTCAAACTCGTAGAAACAAATCTAATCCTTAAAAACCATTTCTTGAAAACTTTGTTTTGATACCATAACAGATGTCCTATTACCTCTGTTAATTGGTTTAGTGATCTTCATTGTTATTTTGACCTTCAATATGTCCTTTTAACTTGACTTAAATTTTTCTCGCCTATTAACTCGTTATTAATTTCATATATATTCCTAAGACAAGTCCGTTTGTGATCAGATTGTTCGAAATGTGTTACGTAAATACACTTCACGATTCAGACAAATTACGTCTTATCGCTTTGCCTATATGTTTTAGTCAGTAAGCATCTTTTGATTTTTGTAATTGTCTGAAGTCTATATGCGTATTTTTATGCGCTCCGACTGAAAATTCATCACCAATCTCAACCAAATTAACACTAAACATTTGACTTTATGTGAAATGTGGTCTTCACAGGTTGTGTTTTATAGAAGTGTGTCTTAATACTGTTCTTTTTACTGTCTTATCTGTTTTTATTTTCATATAGTTTGAGCTATTGTTTTGTGTACAAAATGAAAATGATCCGGTAATTCAGTTATTACAATCATTATGTGAAGAATACCCTCACGTGAATGCTAGACTATTTATTGGTAAGTTTTAATACAATTTAAATATTATTTTTTTGTGCCTAATTCATGTGCTAATTTAAAAAAAATATAAGTGATAATAGTTTCTGTGTGTCGTGAATTGGCAGAGGTTGGAATTCATGAACCACTGGGTCGGAGCCCAGTGGCTTAATGGTCTACGAGCTAGCTCGCGTTGTAACTAGAAGGTCCTGGGTTCGAACCCTGAAGGCGGGCGCGTATTGCTGAAGAGCCCCAAACTAAAGGGGGAGAAACAGCTGTCTGGTACTCCCAAGTTTTCCAATGGTTCTCTAACCGATGTCAGCTCATGATAAAATCCTGTAATAAATCATTCAAATTCGTGAAAATTCTACATCTGAAAAACAAACAAACTTTAGCGTTTAGATATCAACAAATGGTATTGACTCACCTTATAATCGATATTCTTCTTCGTCATTTTTTTGTGTTCTGAATGCAAACCAGAACTTCAGGCTTTTTAAGTTTCAATGGTGGTGATGTTTGTTTTACAGGATGAGGTCATTAGCCTCAAGCTTAACCTTTCCTCTTTATCAGACTTACTACGGTTAGCAGTGAATCGAACCCGGACCTTTTCGTGTGGTTATTGAGCACTCCATCACTGATTCATCGACCCATAAAGTTATTCAGCAACATATACAAACAAACTGAGGGAGTTGCCATGAGGTCACCAATATCCCCCGTTGTGGCAGATATATTCATGGTAGGTGGAAAAACTTAGTGATTGAAATGTGCAGCTCCACCCCAAAAGTATGTTGGAGGTATGTAGATGACACATTCACTGTACTCAGAACACAGGATATAAACAGACTTTTTGAACACACTAACTCAAAGGTGGAGGGAATTCAATTCACTTTTGAATTGGAAAGTCAGGAAGAGGAACTTCCAATGTTATATTGTAGCGTAAAAAGGAAAGAAGATGGGAAGTTAAACGCTAGTGTTTACAGGAAACCCACACATTCAAACAGATATTTGGACTTCCGTTCATCCCATCCTATGTCAGTGAAAATAGGATTGGTGGAATGTTTAAGTGACAGAGCACAAAAATTAAGTAGTACTAAGGAAAATCTAAGACAGGAAGTAAGGTATATAAGAGAAGCTTTGAAACTTAATAACTACCCTGATAAATTAGTCAGAAAGTAGGGAAATGTAAAAATAAAGTAAATAATGATAGTAGTGATGGTGATAATAATAGTAATGACAATGATAATAATGATAATAGTAATATTAATGACGACATGCATGTCAAACATACGCAAGACAACACCAACAATAAGGAATCTAAATCATCAGTATTAATTCCATACAAGGAAGGAACCTCGGAAGCCTTACGCAGAATTCTTAACAAGGCAGGAATAAAAGCCATTGGCATTCAAACCTACAAACTCAATTAGAAACAAGCTTTGTCGGTTAAAGGATCAGTCCTGTGGAGCCTTTAAAACAAAACAATTTAGTTTATCTAATACCCTGCAATGATTGTAAGGTCAGATACATAGGTCAAAGTAGTAGAACAGGGGCAGTCAGACTACCCGAGCATAAAAACCTAGCAAAATCTAGATTAGTTGACCCGAATAGGATAAGAAACCTAGAGAATAGTTCAGCCATAGTACTGACCATATGCAATTACACACAACCATACAATAGGATGGGATAGGATGACAGTTTTAAAATCTAATGTAACAGGGTGGAGGGATTGATAACAGAAGCTTTGTTTATCGAATCAGCCATGAAACACGTGTAATAGGAATGATTCAACGCCTGTCGCAGATATCTCGAAAATTCTACTACCTCAACGACGACAAATAGGAGAGAACGAAAAATATACAACTCAAGTTTCGAAGTCATGTGATTATAACTGATACCATTATGACCAATAAATTGCGATTGGAATGTCACCCAGTATATAATACTGTCTCACTGGGTGATATATTTAATAATATATGAATAATCCCCATCAAGGCATTAATGAAAACAAAACACGTAGTTCAGCGAAGAGTCTCTCCTCGGCGAATTCATTTTCTTAGCTATACAAGCGCAAATATATATATGAGTTATCTTGTATGCATGTGTACATTAAGCTTGTTAAACAAAAATACAATTGGTTATGATTATTTTAACCAAACAGGTGAAAGTTAGTAAGTTTTGTGTGGAGTTACGTATTACAAAAACGGTCAAGAAATTTGCGTGGTAATGAAACTAGGGCAGTAACAAAGGCGTTGAGTTATCACAAACAGTTGTTAAAAAGGAGTTACGTAACAATATGATTAGTTTGGTGATTGAGTTATACTCAGGATACACATAAGAAAAAAGTAGAGAATACGAAGTTACGTAAGAGTTCTAAGTGAATACAAGAATTATAAGCAATTAAAGAAACAGACAAACAAACAAAATTAAGTCATCCAAATAAAAAAGTTGTTACCAAGACAGCAGAAGTGATTGAGTAATCCCCTTTTGTATGCACAGCTCCGGTTTTTCTATGTGAATGGCCAGAGCTTCAGCGATACAAAGAAGACGAAACCGTATTGCCTTTGATAGGTTATTCTTGACTCTGTAGATTACTTTGAAGGAGGCGTTTGTTGAAATGGAATGATCAGTGTTAACCAGGTGTTCAATTATCGCACTCCTTATAGCACCACTATTGCCTTTTCGCAACCATGCTGGATAGTGTTCTTGAATCCTCTTGGACAGGATGCGCGTCGAACGACCGATGTACCTGGCTCCGCAGCAGCAGGTGAACTGATATATGCACATAGTAGTGGTCAGACGCGGGATCTTGTCCTTAAGGCTTCTGCAGATCTGCATATACCAGTTCACTTGCTGCTGCGGAGCCAGGTACATCGGTCGTATTTAAGGTATAACCTAGACGGGCTGACTAACTGTAAGTTAGGAAAGATGCAGAAGTTAGCATGACGTAAGAAGTGTGAGAAAATGTCTAATCAATATTATTATTATCCAAACATCCTGTCTATTTTTGTTATTTCTACATTTCTAACCCCTAATTGCACAATATGTCAATCTTCTCAGTAATTATGATGCTACTTTGTTTGAGTTTTATCCGTCCCCCTGTTTATTATGGTATTTTAATTCCTAATTGTAATTTTATTAATTTAACCTTTAACCGGAAATGATTCTGGAACTTTCCCATACATTTATTATAAATACACGAATTTACAGCCTCGTTGATGACTTCGTCGAAAAGAAAATTTTCTTCGCTGCAACCGTCTTTTTAATAATTCCTATGATCCAATGTGTATATTCCGTGATTTAAAGTGTTTTTATAAAATGTTTTTAATAAACAGTAATAGAGTGATAATAAAATATGGATGATTAGAATAGTAGTGATAATAAAATGATGATAACAATAATAATATTGAACTTACATAATGAAAAGAGGTAAAATTATGGTTAGAACGTTACTCTGGCCACGTTAGGGCGAGTGAATGCATGTAGTGCTTTTGAATGCAGAAGTCTGGTTTCAGATTCCGAACAGCCAATGATTCAGCTATGTACAGATGGTGTGTACGAAGTCCCTTTGTATGATATTGAGGGACTCTGTGTATTCCTCATGTCCAGAGTTGACAAGATGTTCGAGGATGGAGCTGCTACCATTCTTCTTTACTCTTCTGGCTAACCAAGTTGGACAGTGTTCAAAAATACGTTTGTGGACTTGACGTTGCGTACGGCAGATATACTTTGCTCCACACGAACAAGTTAACTGATAAATACACATGGAGGTGGCTAAAAGCAGAATCGAACTGATTGGTTACATTTTTCCGTGTTTAATTCAACTCACATAATGGATTTTCGATCAAAACTAATTCATAACCAGCGCTAGTCTTCTTTATTAGATTTTAATGTTGATTAAACATTCTCTTATCCTGTAAGGTTTGAGCTTAAGTCATAATTAGCATACGTAGATATTTAAAGTGGAGTGCTTTTAAGGCCTCATACATCGTCATTGTTAAGCTTTTAACTTTATTTACGATTGCTGATTTGCACGGATCGGACTGATTTCAAGTGAAATCATGAAGACCAAGTAGTACTGGACATTTGTTTCGTCCTAGTGTAGGACTCTTCACAACTCGCATCCATGATCCCAACCCCCCTAATCCGTAGATCAGGCTCAAGATCTTCAGGTTAAGAAGCCCGCGAATTTAAACTTCTGATAGTCTCCGATGTATAACGCCACCGAATTCATCTTTGACTAAACAAGTTAAATAAGTTAATGAGATATAGATGAAGAGAACAGTAAAGTAAAAAGGACTGTGTACTACGTCCATTAGTGTTTCTCTTACTATTTAAAATTCATAGTGTTTTCTTCTTTCCATAGAAATTAACATTAGCATAATCTTCCGGAGTTGGTTTGTAAGGATTAGATTTGTTTTTACGAGTTTGACCACGGATTGATATCAGTTAGAGAACCTTTGAAAACCAGGGAGTACTGGACAGCTGTTTCCTCCGTCCTAGTTTGGAAATCATCGGCGGTACGCACCCGCTGCCACGGTTCGAACCCAGGATCTTCTGATTAGAAGGCAAGCTCGTATACCATTAGAATAATCATAATACTTAAAGGTTAGGGGATTCAACTGATGTGTTTAATGAAACTGTATAATACTTAAATGATTTAAAGAAAAAGTAGTATGCGTCCTTACTTGTAAATATTTTAATTCAACACTATACACTGAACATAAGGGAATAAAATTTAGGATCTTCGGGATACTAAGATTCATTGGCTGGAGACTATTGGTGATACGGCGCGAAACCGTTCTCATTGACGCAGATGCATTCACACTTTTTGTAACCTTTTATATCCATTAAACCCTATTTTTCCAAGTTACTATTTCTGTCCCCCTCATATTTTTGCTTATTATTAGTTCTTTTGAATCTCCTTGTTTGCCCTCTTTTGTCTACCTTTGTGTGCTACATGGAGTATGGCAACCTGAACGACTTCACTTCCTTTTCAAAGTCCTATGTGTTGAAAGTCAATTAGT